CGCTCCCCCCGCCCGGCTCCGCAGGGATGCGGCGGCCCCCGCTCGCCCCTGTGCGTGCAGGGCTGCTGCTCTTCCATAATTCCCCCATCCCTCTCTCCCGGGCAGGTAAACGCTGTTGGAGCTGCCGAGGGGGGAGCGGAGAGAAACCTCAATAACAACAAGAGGGGGGGGGAAAAAAAAGAGAAAGAAAGAAAGAAAAAAAAGCCCCAAGAAGCAGCCGCTGCACAGAGGTTATCCGGGGGACAGAGCAAATAATTGGCGAGGCGAACAATGCATTTTAATTAAACCTCTGCAGGAAACGAGGGGAGGGAATCAAGTTAATTGCACGGAGCGGGAGCAGGAGATTAAAAATGCTCTTTGCTCAGAAGATGGTGGCTCCCATCCGCCTTTGCCGAGGAAAACAAGGCCACCTGGGGTGGCAGTGCCGGCGTGGGGACACGCTGCTCGCTGGTTCTGCCTGGGCTCGGCGTGAGAGCGGGGTATGGGGGGGATCATGCTGATCCCCTCTGCCATGGGGCTGGGGGTGTCCGGTCCACAGGGATGGGTGCAGGATGAGCCTGGGTGTGGGAGCTGCTCCTAGGAAGTCCCACAGGGATGGGGACATTGCTTGTGTCTGCAGGAAAAGGACCATGAGACGTGTCCTAGGGGATGTGTCCCGTAACAGCTCAGCCCTTCCCCTGCTCCGTGTCCTCTGCTCAGCCCAGGCTGTTCCTGCCACTCTCCCCATGAGAAACCAGCAGCCTTTACCTTTTCCTGCCCATGATACTTCAAATTTCACCTCTGCTTGGGACCTTCTATTTTTTTCTCAACTGCTCCCTTCCCTGATCTTTCAAGCCTTTGTCTTCACCTCCCCTGAACGCCAGAAAAGGAGAGACCCTGACTGGCTGCCAGTGAGCCCCAGAAGAGCAGCACATCCAGGCTCCCTTCCTGCCCAAGAGAGGAAACAGGATCACAGGCTCCAGGCTGCTGGAAGACGGGGGCAGGAGCGAGCACCCTACGCCTGGCACAGGGAAGCTCTCCCAGCTCAACCCCATCCCCCTGGGCACCCATCCCCAGGGCAGGAGGCACCAACCTCTGCTCCGAGGCAATTTGTGAGCTCGCGAACCCTGCCCTGCCTCCCGCCGCCTGCTAATGAGCCCCAGCCCCGTCCGCCTGCCATGAGAACAGCAATCAGCACCGCCGCTCGCCTGCTAGGAACAATCTCCCTCCTTCCCTCCTCTGCATAAATTTCCCAGGCTGTGGTTTTCAGCCTCTTATCCCACATAGCTTTATTCACAAGAGAAGTCCCACTGGGGGTAAGGAAATTACTCCAGCGAGGAAAATTACCCGGGCACAGGATGCACACCCAGGGCACCACGCGAGGGGCTGGGGTGGTTTGGTTTTTTTGCACAGCATCGAAACCAAAATAAATCCACGGAGGGAACTGAGAGCCAAGCCTTGCTCCTGACCACGGGTAAGAGCCAGACAAATTATAGCAATTAAAAAGAAGAAAGAGGCATGTGGGCTTTCATATCCACAAACCTCAGGACGCAGCCGGTGGGGGAGATAGCGTTTCCCAGTCACACACACAGGCAGCAAAGCCGACGCACATCACAAAATACTCCGTGTCCTCAGAGGCACAAGCTGTCCCTCCAGGCACCGGTGCCACCAGCGTGAACACGAGGCTGGGACAGCCTGTCCCCGCACAGGATGGCTGTCAGCAGCAGGACACAGGCTGTATTGTCCCCAGAGCTGGAGATTGAATTGCAGGTTGGCCCTCCCCGCTGTGCACAAGCGCTGCCCTGATGGGAAACGAGAGTTCAGCCGAGATCTTCCGCTTTTCCCCTGCAGCTGCAGGCGGACAGGCAGGAAAACCACAGAGCTCTGCTCAAACGCTCACACCGAGCAGCTTTCTAGCCAGAGAAACGCTGCTGCTTCACCACATGCTTAAATTGCATGGTGGGAAGGAGAAAAATGACCGCTATTTTCACCCCAAACCTGTGGCGGAGCCGGGAGGTGAAGCTTATCACGCTGACAGCGAGATGGCTGCAGCATCCCCAGGCTGTTTTTTCAACAGGAGCATCCTAAGCGGGAATAAGGCTGGATTGCACTCAGCATCCCCAAGAAAGGGGAGGGAGGCAGAACCAGCAGCCCCAACCCAAAATCTCATTCCCAGACACCCCCTCGCTGTTGCCTCTCCATCACTCCCGGGGCTGTCCCAGCCCACCTGGGGGTATCCACGGCCCCCCTGGAGATTTGCAAATATCCCTGGCTGCCTGCAGGGCTGTGGGAACACTCTCCTCTGCCTGCCATGCTGCAGGCACAGGGACATTTGGCAGCTGCCTGCCGGGAAGGTGTCTGGAGCGCTGTGGGAACATGAGTCAGAGCTCCCTGCTCTCCCTGACGTCTCCCTCTTGCTCATTTATTCAGCACGTCAAATATTTGCCCTGCACAGACCTGCATTATCCAGGAGGGTTTTTTTTTTTTTTTTCCCTTCTTCTGGTAGTGACAGCTTCGAAAAAGCCACCACAGTGCCATCTTGGGAAACTTGACCTCCCAGCTAAGCAGTTCCATCATCCTTTTCCTCGCCTGCTCCAGGCACTAGCTCCTCTTCAAGCAGCCATCCCCTCTGTGAGGGATGGAGGGGCTGGATGCCAAAACCCACAGGCTAAAGCAACAACCCACAGGGCTGCAGCGGGGAAAGGTCATTTCAGACCCACTTCCAGCACGGCCTGAGTGACAGCAAAGCTGGGAGCCTGCGGGAAGCAAGCAGTGGCCCTGCTGTCCCCTCATGTCCCCGAGCATCCTGCCTGGAAGCGGCACACGCAGTGGCAGGAGAGGCCAGCCAAGGAAAACTGCTCAATTTTGCCTCCCTTCGGCAAGGAAGTAGCTTTGCTGGCTGCTAGCCCCACAGCAATACCCTGGGGACCTCAGGCTTTTCCTTTTTTTGAGCCACATCCTTGGATTTCTTGCTGAAAGGGCTGCTCACACCCTGAATTCCCAATCCCCAGGGAGAAGGAAAGGTGTTCATCCTTGATTAAAAGGTAAAGGCTGGACAAGGTGACCTTGAGCAGAGGTGACACAAGAGAATTCATGTCCCACTTGGCCCCACGGGATTTTTATTCCAGGGTTGCAGCCAAAAATGTCCCATTTCATGGAGAAAGTGCAGAAATGGCTCATAAAGCACAAGCTTGGGGATGCAGCTGAGCAGATCAGCTGCCAGATAAAGACAGCGTGCTCTGGGGGAAAACACACCTGCCTCCATCCTGGCTGGAAAAGGAGCAGAAAAATCTCCCTTCAGTCTCCATTCCCAGCAAGGACACACACAAGGAGTTCACTTTTTACAGGAGCTTCCCAAGATCAGGGCTGGCTTTTCTTGCTGGTGGGGGCTCCAGAGCTTGCTGGTCCCAAGCCAGCCAGCTCAGCATTCCCCCTTTTCCTTGGGAAGCCACAATGCATGGAAAAGCCTCAGGGCTGGAATAAAACTACAAAAAGCTTCTGCAGTGCTGTCAGAAATAGCATCAGGAGAAAAGGGAGCTGCCTGGTGGGTTTGGCCCCCTCAATCCTGCATCCTGCTCCATCCCTGAGCTCCATACACAACCAGCTCCAGAGGGAGAGAAAGCATGCTGATTTTTTTTTTTTTTTTTTATTTTCCAGCTTATCCAGCATTTACAGAGCTGCCCATCTCTCTTTGCTTGTGGAAGGGCAAGTTTGGCTGAGCCCACAGCAAGGATTCCTGGCAGATGAGCTCGAAGTCCTTTGGGGAAACCAGTTTGGGGGGACAAGACACCCCCTGTGTCTCCCAGCTGGATAAGGAGCTGCAGTGACCTTGTCCAAACATGGCCTGGAGTTGGAAGTGAGGAAGGAGAGGATGTGACTCACATCTGGGATGTGGCCACAGAGGACAGATGGGTTTTATTACTGTCCATCCCCTCTCTGCAGCTCTGTCTCAGTGACTCAGCCTTGCCTTTAGGCTCTTCCTAAAGGAGCCACAGCACAGCCCTTCCCAGCAGCTTCCCTCTGCTGAAGTAAAACAGATTTGGGAAATTCAGGCTCCTGTGAAGGGGAAAAAAAATAAATTAAAGCAAATCAAAGTTATGTTTCTCCATGGGAATCTTTCAATTTCAATTGTAAATCATTCAGAGAAGGATGAAATCACATCTTTTAGTTGCAGGATTCATCTCTCTGTGTTTAGAGACTTAAAATCCAAACGTGCCCCAATTCCAGTGGGAAGGACAATGAGGAGTCCCCTGGGTTTTCTTGGACACGTCCCACAGGTCAAGAGGAAACATCTGGAGATGTTCCATGTCTGGAGGGAGGAATAAGGGGATTTCAGCAGGTTTCCTCCCCGCAATCCCAAGGAAACTCAGCAACGTTTAGTGGAGAGAGCCCCAAAGTACTGAGACCAGGCAGAGCCACCATGTGTTAGACATTAGAGAATCTGAAGAGGGGAGCTCTGCAGCCAGCTGGGTAAAGCTCAGGGTTTCTGGGCCTTCCTGTGGAATCCTAACACAGCTCCCTCACCTCGGCAAGGGCTTCCCTTCCCACATCAATCCCCGAAGAGCCTTCGGCACGCTCACCTTCACTATTTACCCACCAGGTACGGGGGGACCACGGGGTGACGGCCCTGCCCGGACCCCCCTTCACACCCGAGCTTTTCCCATGGGGACAGCAGGTGGAGCACATCATCCGGGCACGTTTTCCATCCACATCCCCGCCTTGACGGCACCGGGAGCCGAAGCTCCGTGAGCCCCCCGGGGCCAAGCGCTGCCCGCCCCGGGAGCCAGCGGTGCAGTTCGCCTGGCAGACACTGGATGGGGCTACGAAACCGGTTACCGGCACAGCTGGCACGGCCGGGGGGCACAGCGGCCTCTGCCAGATGTTTTGGGGTCCCTCTTGGCGGGTGCCAGGTTGGCCGTGCCGCAGCTGCCGCCATCCACGCGGGATGCTGGGACTGGCACACGGTGGCGTCGATCCAAACTCCACCTCTCCTGGATACTGAGTGAGTTTCTGGCAGCACCTGGAGAAAGCTGGAGCCTTCACCTCCAAAAACTTTTCCATGTTCTGAGTGCGGTGATGGACAGCGAGAGAGGGAGTTGCTGCCTTGCAAAGTGCTGGTGAAGATTTCTGCTGCGGTTGCAGGATGAGGTGAGTGTCCTGCCTCCCCCCTGCCTGAATCCCAGCTTTTTGAGGGACTTTGGATGAGGGTACAGAGTAGCAGGATAAGAGGGAAAGGCTTCATTTTGTCAAAAGACGGGGTTAGATGGGGTATTGGGATGAAACTCTTCTCTCTGAGCGTGGGGTGGCCCCACAGGGAAGCTGTGGCTGCCCCTGGATCCCTGGAAGTGTCTGAGGCCAGGATGGATGATGTGTGTTTATCTCTGGGACTTTCACCTCTTTTTCCAGCACCTTCTTTGCTGTGTTGTGTTTTGCCCACCCCTCTTTGCTCAGTGCCAGCTGTAATGTGCAGAGGGGATGGGTCAGGGCCAAAACCTGTGTACTGGGGAGTTCTGAGGTGGCTGATCCTGCGAGTTGAGGCCTTTGCTGTGGCAGAAGGGCTCCTGGCTGCATTTTGGCATTGTGCCCCCACATCCCCACTCCAAACAAAGAGCATTTTGTGGGCACTGCCCTTTGAAGTCTCGGCGGTGGCTGTTACCAGGCAGGTGCTATCAAGGGAGATGCTGACGCAATCACTTCCTCCAAGCTCCTGTCCCCAGCCTGGGCTGGCTCTGCTGCTTGGGGACAGACTGTTGTCCCCTCTGCAGGGCCGTGTGCCAGCCCAGGGTGAGCAGAGCCCCCTTTGCTTTGGCAGGGATGCTGGCAATGACACTCCAAGCCTTGCTGTGATGCCACCCCTGTCTCTGCTCTGCTCCCAATCCCTTGGGAAGCTGCTCTGTGCCCTGTCCTGGATCAACAGCCATTATCTTTCCCATTCTCCCTGGAGCAGGGCCAGCAGCTCCATTAGCGCTGCAGCTGGCTGGGCTGGGAGGAAGGTGGGGTGCAGGGATGGGCCAGCTCGGCTCCCGGGGTGTGAGCCCCGTGCCGTGGCTGGGCAGAGCAGCACAGAGGGGAAGCCTTGGGAATGCTGCAGGGATGGATGCTTTGACTGCTGGGTTCCTGCTGGGGCAGCAGGACCGGAGCTTGTGGAGTATCCTGGGAGTCCTGGCTGTGCTGTGCTGGTCAGGGACGTGCTGCCTCCCAACGGTGTCCTGGGGACACAGCTGGTGTGGGCACATGTCTCGTCCCCTCTTTGGGAGCAGGATCAGTGGCTTGAGCCCTCGGGCTCTGTGTGGGTGCTGAAAGCAGTGTGGCAGTGGGCTGTCACTGCTGCTGGGCTGGGACATGATGTCTAGGGGACACTGGTACAGGAAATGGCTCTGCCCCACAGCTTTTGGGGGATGGAGATGAGGACAGGCTGTGCTTGGACAGCTCATTCTGCCCCTACAGCAAATTGTGCCCCACAGCTGCAGCCAGCAGGCTGGAGATCTCCATGCCAGCTGTGGTGGAGGTGGAGATCAGGGGCACAGCCAGGATCGAGTGCAGCTCCTACATCCCTGAAGATGTTTCCTAAACCTACATAGACTGGTTCTAGGTGAGTGCTGGCCTGGGAGAGCAGCTCTGGCTGCTGGGCTGGGGTGGCAACCAGCCCAGGGTTTCCTGCCAGGCTCTCCTGCCCAGGCTCACCCCTCACCTTGCAGGTGACACAGCAACAAGCAGGTGAGGCTGTACCACAGCAGGGTCCTGGAAGACAACACTGGCCACAAGGACCATGTCCACCAGCGACAGTGCAGGCTACCAAGACCTTTGTGTGCCAGGTTGGAACTGGCAGCCACGGTGAGAACAGCACCGAGCTCAGCGTCTGCAGTGAGTGACACAGGAGGGCAGCAGGGCTGGTGGGGATCCCATCCTGTCCCTCCTAAAATGTGTGGGGTGGCTTCTGTTTCCAGGGGTCCCTGAGAGCCCTGAGATTGAGATGCTCACCTCTAGCCTGAGGAGGGAGCTTGGCAGTGCTTCTCTGGCTGCTCCTCTCCCTGCCAAGCCAGGAGGGGAGGCAGAGGCTCTGTCCCCAGCAGTGGGAAAGCTGCTTGTTTGTCCCCAGCAAGGCCACCCAATGCTGCTTCTTGCAGCCCAGACCCACCGGGCAAGGGAGCAGAGGCATGGCTGATGCCTTGCAGGAATTCCTGTTATCCACCCTCCTATGGCACGTGGGACATGGCAGCCTGGAGCAGAATTTCTGTGTTCCTACAGAAACTGCCCCAACAGAGCATTTCTGTACATCTGCATCCTGCAGGCAGCTGGGGTGGCTTTTTTGGGGGAAAGGACCCTTTTCAAAAACACAGGGGAAGATGGATGGGATCACAGTGGGCTAGGCATTAATTACTTCTTCTCTCTGTTGTGTTCAGATCAAAAGTCAACAGCAGAGAGCCAAGGGGTGATCATTGTGGCCATCATTGTGGCCATCATTGTGGCCATCATCATGGAGGCTGTGCTGGGTGCTGTCATCTTCCTGCACAATAAAGGTAAGATCTCGTGTGGCCATGGCAGGAGAGAGGCCCTGCCTGGCTCTGCACAGCTCACACCCCTCTCCCCTCACCTCAGCTGGGTGCTCAGCCAGCCTGGGGTGTCCCCGTGTCCCCCACCCCACTGTGTGTGTCACTACCCCACCTGCAGCAGCATTTGTGTTCATCCCTAACCTCTTGTTTTCTCTCTCTGTTGGCAGAACTGAAGAGTGAGAAATCCATCACTCTGAGACACTGGAGAGGAAACCTGGGCTCGGCCTGCCTTCAAACCTTCCCTGCTCTTGGATCAACTTCTCCCAGCCCTGGAGAGCACAGGCAGAGAGCAGCCGTGTGCCACCGTGCTGGGTGTGTGTGGTCACTGTGCTGAAAAGAGAGAGAAAGGACAGCAACACACACGGAGTTCTCTGGGGAAAAAAGGCCAATTTATTGTACAGACAGTTTGTATTTAAAGTGTATTAGTGCAGCCAGGACAGGACAGGAGCTCATTGGATAATTGGGAAAAACATCCTTGGGACAGCACCTCAGGATGTGTCCCACGGGAAAGACACCAGGGGTTAATGTTGGTGATGAATTCCACTCTGTTTGTCACCATGTTGTCACCCTGGGAGACTCCTCCCTAACTGAAGCTGCAGTCAGCTTGTCAGCCTGGGAATGGAGCTGAGAGTCAGGAGAAATCCAGGCCTGGAAAGGATTTCCAAGCTGTAATTTCCTAACTCTGTGAATGTGTGTGTCCACAGGTGTGCAGGGGACACCTCCCTGCCTCACCTGGCCATTCCCTCACCCTCCAGGTGTTGCCTGAGCAGCAAAGCTGGACTCCATTCACTGCTCCAGAGAAGCCACAGCAATATTAGGAAGAATAATCCCATTAATCCCTGCTTGGTGGAAGGACTTGAGGCTTTTTCAGGTAATCTCTTCTGTACATGTGTGGGAAGGTTTGGATGTGGTTTTTTTTACCCCAAACTAGCTCAGAGAGCCTGGTGGAATTTGGGTTTTGGGATGTCCCAGGCACTTTAGCTGCAGTGCAGGTTGGATGAGAGAGGTGTGGAAGGGGTGTGTGTTAGTGAGGTGTTTGGGTTAGGACACATTTATATCCCTGTGGCAGCTAATAATACATTACTAACTGTCAATATGCATAAATCTACTATTTATTCTAAGAAATAATCATAATTTTAGGTTGTAATAGGTGACTATACTACTGGATCCTAAAAGACAATATTGTAACTAGAGATTATAAAAGATTATATTGTAAATAGAATTTAATAGATCCCAACAGTAGAATTTATTAATGATTGTTTTAATAGCTAATACCAATACTATAGATGTCAATGCTTACAGGAGTTTATAATAAACACTAATACAATAAACTAATACTGCTAATTAATAATAAATATTAATAAAGCTAATAACCAGCCCCTGTCACTATGCTGAGAGGACACAGGGCAGAGGATGGGTGACAGCAGTGGCCACTGGGTGACCCTGAGGCTTTGGGCTCCCCTGGACTGGACTGGCAGTGTTTGATCCATTACACAAAGTGTCTGTTCTTGTTTGGTTCATAATTATTAACCCTTGCATTGCCTTTTAACCCCTTGATCAGTTATCAAAGCCTCAAATGACCTCAAGTAACTCCTCTCAGGGTAGGACCAGGGAGGCATGACCTCATCACCTCTATCTCTAATTGGTGATTCTTGTCACTCATGCTAATTTGCTAAAAATACAAAATTGTAAATCTGTTACAGGGCACACCTTTGCTGTGTTTTCGTTCAGCACCCTGAAGATTCTTTTAGAGGAAGCTCCTTTTTATCACCTAACCCAGCCTGGCTCATCATTTCAGCACCAGGGAAAAGCCATCAGTGTGTGGTGACTCCACCAGGAGAGCTGTGACACAACTGCTTGGACTGGGGACCACCCCAATCCCACCATCCTTAATTTTTTTTAAAAAATCGTGGATTCTTCATGGTGAAGGAAACTCCAGGAGTTGCAGAATCCAGCATAGAATTAGAGGTAAGATAAAAGGCATTGTGCTGCTTGCTTTTGTGGGTTTGCATTTGCAGATCTCTCGTGGGTTTTTTTGGGTGGGAAGGGGGTAGTGGTGGGGGTGGGGTTCATTCATTTGCTGTGTTTTGTTCTCCCGTGGTTCCTGCAGGTTTGGTGCAGCAAAAAGCTGGGGATGCCCTTCTGTTGGAATTCAAAATGCAAGGAATTCTCAGAACACTGGGTCTGTAAGCCAAAGCTTAGAATTAAACACAGGATTTGATCTGGGACCTTGGAAAAGTCTTCCAAACTTAGATGCTAGAAACGAGAATGTGGATTTACAGCTTAAAGCAGAGACCTGTTAAAATGAGATAAGTTCAGCTTTAGAGTTTAAGATATAGGGAAAAAAAAAAGTAGTTATAAAGATAACAAGAAGTTTTAGAGCAGCAATGTAAGTTTGTGTGTCGTGATATGATTGGCTGAGAAAGTTCACACTGTAGTATGAGTCAATAAGACAAAATATCTTTGTATTGGCTTAGGAACATAAATATCTCTGTTGGCAGCGTTTTATTGGTTAATAAATCCTTAAAAGACCTTGTAATAATAAGTCTGGAGACTTCTGAGCCATTCTGTGAACATCTGCAAGACAAACTTATCCTTTCTGCCTCTGTAGAAGATAAGAAAAATAAACTGCACTTTTAAAGGCAATTTAGAAGTCCCATCTCTCTGCTTCATTTGGAAAAAAAAAAAATCCCTGCAAGAAAATGAAATGTGGGATCAATAAACCTGTGGCCAGGGTTAAGTGTTATTCCTTGGAGTGTGTGAACATTTCCAGGAGTTGAGTTTTTTTGTCCCATACATGCAAGATTTTTTTTTTTGTTTTGTTTTTTTTTTTTTGGTTGGTTGGTTGGTTGGTTTGGTTTTTTTTGTTTACATGAAATAAAATACAAATTCAAAGCTGGGTGGTGGAGTTTTCTCCCACAAACAGAAAGGTTTGTGTTACTCCTTAAATCCCAGAGATTCAAGTCTAAATCCTGGCCAGACAAGGTTTTTTTCTCGTGTATTCTCTTTCTCTTTCCAGGTCATTGCTTGTGCTGGCCCTGCCTGTTAAAGGGATGGCACAGAGCAGAATGAACCTGAGCACAAATCCCACCCAGGACTCAGCTCAGTGCCTGCCAGCTCTGGTCTCAGCAGCTTTTTTTCCTGTTTGTGAATGGAAACATGGGCTGCATCTGCTCGAGTGAAGAGAAAATAAAGATTCCCCTGAACTCCCCATTACATTTAAGAATAAAATACTGGTGTATCCCCACAGATTAAAAAAGTCTTTTTGCCATGGAAGAACTGGTTTGGAATTCCACATGGTTGCAGAAGGAAGGGATCTGGCATCCCTTTGGCAGCTTAGAAAGTGAATTAATGTCAGAATTATTATTACACCTCCCTCAGCAACAGCATTGGGATGAGATTTTATACACTGAACTCTTCCTTCTATTTTCCTGAGGTCACAGGGGTTACTTGAGGTCATTTGAGGCCCTGATTTGGGGTTACTTGAGGTCATTGGGGTCATTTGAGGTCATTTGAGGCCCTATTTGGGGTTACTTGAGGTCACAGGGGTCATTTGAGGTCACAGGGGTTACTTGAGGTCATTGGAGTCCTGTAAAATTCATCCAGGGGTTACTTTAGGTCATTTGAGTCCCTCGTTGGGGTCATTCGAGGTCATTTGAGGCCCTATTTGGGGTTACTTGAGGTCATTGGGGTTATTTGAGGTCATTTGAGGCCCTATTTGGGGTTACTTGAGGTCATTGGGGTTATTTGAGGTCACAGGGGTTACTTGAGGTCATTGGAGAATTTTTAGCTTCATCCAGGGGTTACTTTAGGTCATTTGAGTCCCTCATTGGGGTCATTCGAGGTCATTTGAGGCCCTGATCGGGGTTACTTGAGGTCATTGGGGTCATTTAAGGTCATTTGAGGCCCTGATCGGGGTTACTTGAGGTCATTGGGGNGGTCATTTGAGGCCCTGATCGGGGTTACTTGAGGTCATTGGGGTCATTTAAGGTCATTTGAGGCCCTGATCGGGGTTACTTGAGGTCATTGGGGTTACCTGGGGTCATTGGAGAATTTTAAAATTGATCCAGGGGTTATTTGAGGTCATTTGAGTCCCTCATGGGGTCACTTGATGTCACTGGAGTCCCTGAGAGGAATTATTTGAGGTCACAGGGGTTACTTGTGGCCATTTGTGTCTCCATTAATTGACTGTGGGGTCAGATGGGGACACAGGGGTTAATTCTGATGAGCTGTGGCCAAACAGGAAGGGACACTTTGTGTAATGGATCAAACACTGCCAGTCCAGTCCAGGGGAGCCCAAAGCCTCAGGGTCACCCAGTGGCCACTGCTGTCACCCATCCTCTGCCCTCTGTCCTCTCAGCATAGTGACAGGGGCTGGTTATTGGCTTTATTAATATTTATTATTAATTAGCAGTATTAGTTTATTGTATTAGTGTTTATTATAAACTCCTGTAAGCATTGGCATCTACAGTATTGGTATTAGCTATTAATACAATCATTAATAAATTCTACTGTTGGGATCTATTAAATTCTATTTACAATATAATCTTTTAGGTACCAGTAGTATAGTCACCTATTACAACCTAAAACCATGATTATTTCTTAGAATAAACAGTGGATTTATTAGTATTTTTGTAATTAGTGTATTATTAACTGCCACAAGGGTATAAATGTGTCCTGCTGGAATCTCCATAGGATTGTGGAATGCCCTTCCCACTCTTCAGTTTGTAGGAGCAAACTCCTCAATTCAGCTTTGAATCTACACTTTATTTTCACACAGATGAAAAAAAAAAATCTTGCAAGTACCAGACCAAAAAAAAAAAAAATCCTGGAAATGTACACACTATCCAACCCAAAGCTTTTGCTGGGCCACCACGTGTGGCAGGTGGGGACAGCTGGTGTGGCTGTGCTGGGGACAGCCCTGGGACACCCAGGGGACAAAGGCTCCGAGGATGTGACTGAGAGGGGCTGATCCCTGTGGGATGGGGCAGAGGAGGGCTGGGACAGAAACCCAAGGCAGATTCTGGCTCATCTCCCCCCTCATTGCAGGGCCAGAGGTGGCACCGAGGCCCAGAGAGGAATTTGACCTGGATCTGGCAATGGCTGAGCACAAAAAAACCCTCAGGTGTCACCAACTGGCTCTGTCTAACATTGATTTTAAATTTGTGGGAGCTCTGGGAATTGCTGTTGCAGCAGTTGTGCAACATCCCCAAAATAAACCCAGAGGGGAAACCTGTGCAGCCCCAAACCAGACATCCTAAAGCTTTTCAGTGGGAAGAGCAGTGTTGGATGCCAAAATCATATCAGGACATGTGAAAACACAGCCCAGCATCTCCTCTTGTCCTATTCCTTGAGAGGAGAGACCATCCCCTCCCAGCTCCAACCTCCTTTCAGTGAGAAGATCTCTTTAAGTATCATCCCAGATCTCCAGAATTTTCCCCCCAGGATGCCAGAGCAGGCAGGGAGCCCCTGGAGCTGCACAGAGCCTGATGACCCCCCCAAGCCCAGACTTTCACCTCGATATCAGCGAGACAGCAAATCTTGAAGTTCCCTTCCAACCCAAACCACCCTAGGATTATTTGTCAGTGGCATCGATGGGATTTTCCCCGTGTTCCATCCCCAAACCAGGGCAGGACGGGAAGATCCAGCCCCAAAGCAAAGCCAGAGCCCAGGGAGAGGCACAGCCCCGCATTGCAGATCCTGATACGGGCAAGGGCCAGCCCCAAATTCCCTGAAAGCTGCTGTCAGCCCTCCCAGCAGGGCTCTAAATCCACCCGGACTTCCTTGGCTGCAGCTGGCTGAACAAGCTGGCAACAGCAGAAAGCGAGGCAAAGCCTCTCCTAACTCAGGGAATAAAAAAGATTGGGAGAAGTCTCCATAAATCCTGAGCCAGTTACTGGTGGAGAGGACTCCCCTCCTCCTGCTCCACACGCTGCAGCACAAATTATGGCCCCAACCTCGCTGTTGTTCAGTGATGAACATCTGAAAAGGCTGTGACAGATGAGAGGAGGGATGATTTAACAGCCATAAATCCAGCCAGCTTAGAGGTGTTTTTACAACCAAACCCATCTCGAATCCCCTCTGTTATGAATACTTATCACTCCCAGACACTGCTACAATGGAAAGATTTTTAACAGCTTTAATAGAGACGCAATAAAACCCCCAGAGCCGGGCGAGCAGCCGTCCTTTGATCCCTCCCGAGGGAGGGAGAGGAGCTGGGAGCTGTGCTCAGGCTTGAAGGAGCAGAGCTGGAGCAGCCACTGGGCTGACCCTGGCTTTAATGGATGGGTGGGATCATCCCAGAGCTGGATCAGCGTTCCTAAAGCTGCTGCGTGGTGTAATTAATACCCAGCAGGGAAGGGGGACAGGGACAGGCTGTGCCTGGGATAATCCCGTACCTTCTCCAGGGGCTCCTCCTGCAGCTCCCGTGTCACACCTGCTCTGCCCCACCTGCAGGGATTTAAACCAAGGCTGGGTTCAGCTGCACCAATGACCCTCCCGGGTGTGGTGACACCCCTTTGTAACCTGGTAATGCCTAAATTGGCTCAATGGGACCACCCAAGGAGCAGGACAGGGACATTGTCCCTTGGCACTTCCCAAGCAGGACAGGGACACTGTCCCTTGGCACTTCCCGGAGCTCAGGAGATCTCCCAGCTCCAGGGTAACTGGTCATGAATTTCATTCCCTCCCAGGTTGGGATTAAGCAGCCCCAGATCTCTTTCTCACTTCCCAAACTGTCCCTGCAGCCTTCCGAAAACATTCTGAGCACACAGCCAGCAAAACCAGGAACAGGGAGGTGCCAGGGGGCACCCACTGCAAAGGGCACCTGGAGCTGGGCAAATACCTCAGGAATAAACCCCTCCTTTCTTATACACACAAACTTATCAGGCACAGCCAGGTGATAAGGAATTCAGCAGGTGGAGGGAACAAAATTGATCCCAGGCTCCTTGTTTTCCATAGCTGAGCAGTCCACATGCAGGGAAAACACAAGGGAAAACAGCCAAGCTTTGGGGCTGGTGGGTTTCCCTCCTGCACTGAGGGGGTAATGAAATAAAAACAAGGAGCAGGGGAAGCTCCTTCCTAAGAGAAATGTGGCTACCAAGAGAGAAAGCAGCTCTGCAGAACAAGGAGCAGGCTCAGCTTGGCCATATAGAGACCTGAGGGGACGTGGACTCTGAATCCTGGGTGGAATATGGCATTCCCAGCCTGTTAACCTAAGGGAACATCTTCTTTTTTAATAAGATAATACCAAGTAATTGATTTTTAAATACACTGAAATCAAATGTCCTGAGGCCAGAGCAGGATCTCAGCTCTGCTGTCAGCTCAGAGGCCACTGGCAGGGATGGAAAGCACAAGGGAAAAGAAAATAAAAATTAAATTTCTTTCATGTGCCTCTCTGGCTCCAGGGCAAATGTGAACATCTCTGTAAAAGGTGCAACAATTTTTCTCTATTAAAAAATAAATTATCAAAAGGGAGAAGCTGGTGGAGGCACCAGGGACCACTGAGGTCGAACAGGCAGTGTGGAGAAAATCCATCTGCTTAAAACACACAACAACAATTTAAAAAATTTCATTTTTAAGATAATTTATTCCAATGTCTCTCTCACACACACTCCATCCTTCACACAGTCCCAGTCGAGGAGGGTTTATGGCTATTTTTTATTGGATTTTAATTGTTTTTATAGAAAAATACACATGCAAATAATATATATACTTCAGCGCTGAACTTTTCTTTTCATGTTGGAAAAAATAATAATAATAAAGAAATGAAGGAAGATTTGGGAAAGACCTGAGTGGAGACAGAGACAGGGAAGGCCATGGGGATGGGATGCTCCAGGATGTTGAGCTGCTCATGATCCAGCACATTTATCCAAGCAGGAAGGTTTTTATTGGGATGAGGGACCAACATCAGCCCCTCACCCCAACAAAAACCCTTCTCCAGTAACTCTGCCAAGGAAAAATTGTTGCTGGATTCATCCTTCCTACAAGATCCAGCATGGATCCCATCCCCAGCAGCAAGGGAAGCCCAGCTTAGGTAAAAGCATCACTTTTGATGCTTGGAAATGACACCAGAAGCCAAGAGCTACATGGAAAAAAATATCCTTTTATGCTATTTCCTATGGGATACAGCTGGCAGCACAGGGAAAATGGATTGATTGAAACCTGGACTTGTGTTTCAGGATGATGTTTTTTGGGGTGAGACTCTGTTGGACCCTTGGCTGTGCAGGGCTGGGGGTTTCTGCCCCTGTGGGCTGCTCAATGCAGAGGGGAGCAGCGATGTCCCCGTGAACCCAGCAGTGTCCCCATGTCCCCAATCTCTCTGCAAACACCGTGCCAAGGTCCAGGGCATAAAACAGATCTGCTGCATGGTGGGAGCTGCCACCCCTGGAGCAGAAGAGGAGAAGTCCTTTAGACAGGGCAGTTCCAGGTTTGATGGATGAGCAGCTGCAGCGAAGAGCTGGCCAAGGAGAGGGCAGAGAGGAGCAGCCTGGGGAAGGAGGACAATTAATCCACTGCCACAGGACGCCAGGAGGCTTTGGGAAATGTCACAATGCAGCAGCATCCCGACACTGAGAGGGCAGCAGGGAGAGGAATGAGGCGTTTTGTCATCTCCTTCCAAGGCAGGCAGAGCTCCTCTGCCTGCAATCCCACCCACAGCCATGGCTTTTTTCCTACTGATCCAGGCTAATGATATGGAGCAAACTGTTGTCTCCTTGCCCAGAGGTCCAAACCCACACAGGCAGCACAGAGAAGGCTCCCCAAGGCAAGGATTTCCCTCCAGCTCCCAAGGAGCTGCGTGCCAAAGGTGGCAGCAGCGCTTTGCCAGCCCCACCTCTGCCCCCGGCAAGGCCCTGCCCGTGTCCCCAGCCAGTGGTGACATCCCTGGTGACACCACACAACCGGAGTGGTGGCCGGGTGCAGCCCCAGCTCCTGGCTGTGGTCCCTGCCATCACCTCCTGCATCCCTGGTGCAGCTCCAGCATCAGCGAGGGGACAGCAGCAGGCAAAGGGAGCCTTGGGTACCTCAGGATTTACCACCAGACACCTCACCTGCCTTTCATGGGTGGGCTGCAGACACAGCACCTGGGGGGCTGCACAGCCACGCTCTTCCTGCTTTTCCCTTCTGTTTTGTTTTGCTTTTTAACCAACAAAATTCACTTTTGGGACTGTCTACTCCGAAAATAGAGGTGGGAGGGTCTGGCGAGGGCGGGGGCTGTTTGGCTCCTATGTCTACAGGCTGCTCTGGGGCAGCTCTAGAGTTTGGTGGACGATCATGCAGGTTTTATTGCGGCTCGTGTGTGTGGTTTGGTTTGTAGGTAGCCCAGCTTCAGTCTCAGGTAGCCCCGTTGGGCTCCTCTCCCCTCCCCACCTGTCCGGCCACTGTCTCTCCTCCACCATGTGCTGGGCCAGGTGGCTACTCCGTGGCCATCTGCTCGATGTGGTCACTGAGCAGCTTGTATTGCTCTGGGAAAGAGAGAGAAAAGGGCTCAGAGAAGCTGCTGAACCATCCCACCCGTGCTCCATCCCTCCAGAATTCCCAGAAAGAAGGAAAATGAGAAATGCACATCCCCCGGGCTCTCCCCTACCTTCATCCAAGTTGCCGATGGTCGCCTGCTTCTTCAGGAAGTCACTGCAGAGCTTCTTGTTGAGGCCAAAGGCCAGCATGTTGTGGATGAAGGTGCTGAGGGAGGACAGAGACGCTGTGGCTGAGAGAATGAAGGGCCAGGCTGCCCCTTCTTCCCCCCACCCTCCTCTCCCTCTCCACAGCCCCTTGCTGCAGGCACTGGGATGATGCTCAGCTCAGTCCCTTTGGATATTCAACAAAAGGGGCAGGAGCAGGTCCCAGGGAGAGGCACCAAAGATCCTCTGCACCCCAAGGGATGTCCCCAGTGGGGGAACAGCTGGGAGGTGTCCCCAGGGTGGGTGGTGCCCGTGCCCTGCTCACCCCAGCTGCCCAAAGGTGATGTTCTCGTTGAAGCGCAGGCTGTCGTCGCGCTCCTCCTGCGTCATGTGGCACCACTTCTCCCTGCAAGGAACAAGCCAGTCTGGCACCACTCTGTCACCACTGTCACCTCAGGACCCCCTGTCTGCTTCCTCCCACCCTGGGCCACGTTGCTGGAGGACAGGAAGGCACCGAGAGCCCCTGGGTGTGGTGCTGGGTGTTGGATGAGCTCACAACATGGATCCATCTGCAGAGCTCTTGCCCTGGAGCAAACCGAGAGAAGCCCCAGGAAAAAAACCTTATTCCATCTTAGCTTTGCCCTGATTAAGAGCTAAAAACATCATTGATTCCCCCAGCACAGAGCTCACCTTCAGTGCCACCGCGGGCATGAGGAGGAAGCAGGGCACGGCCATCCCAGCAGGGCTCTGCTGAAGCCCCCCGGCCTGGGAGGGTGACAGGGGGACAGCAGGCACCTGTCCCTCATCTGCAGCAAAGCTCCACCTCCCCAAATCCCAAACATACCTCCCCCTTGGACAGGACAGGAGCTCCCAGCTCCCTCCCCACGGGCCAAAATCCCAGCAGTGCCCTGAGGATGCCCCGGCTCCACTCCAGCATCACCTTAAGGGATGGAGGGGTTTAAGCTCTGGGTGTTGGCAACCAGCTCTAGGCAGTGGCAGAGTCCCCACCCTGGGAGTAAAGCCTGTGCCACAGGGATGTCACTTGGGGTGGTGGCAGCAGGGCTCAGTGCATGCATGCCAGGGAAACTACAGCTCCACGGTGAAGCCAGCCCCTTCCCGAGAACCAAGTGAGGTTACAGCCAAGGATAAGAGGAGGAAAAGCAAGGAGAAACAGGGATAGGTAGAAGAAAAATGGAGGAGAAGGAAGAGGAGAACACCAGGAGAAGAACAGACATTTGGAGCTCACCAGAATATCAAGCAGGAAGGGAGAGCTGTGCTGGGTGGAAATTGGGATAGAGGGGATCTCATCCGAAATTCAGTGAGGTTGGCTCAGCCCCAGCATGGCTGGAACTGGAAGAGGATGAGTGCTCAGCCTGACCCCACAAAGCGAGCCAGCCCCCACTAAATCAAATATGCAAAGCTGCTGAGCCTCCAGCCACCAGATCATTGTTTATAGGGCTCTGGAAATGTACACAATATGTTTCAGGGGATTTTTTTTTTTTTTTTTTTTAAGAAAAGAAGGTGTAATTTCTCTCAGATAAAGCTTAGGACAGCAAATAAAACCCACAGCCAAATGTAGAGGCTGAAAGGAGAGGGGAAGAATCGAATTAAGGGGCTTTGAAATCTGGAAGCAAAACTTCACAGACCCCACTGGCTCACTTACAGAAGAAGCATGTTTGTAACTTTTTTTTCCTGCCCTTTTATGTTTTGGAGAGAGGAAGAAGGGAGAAAAAACATTATCAAAGTGCCCCCCCCCAAAAAAAACATTTGGCTGTGTTTCTGGCTTATTACTGGAGAGTAACATGCCTGGGAAAGGAGAAAACCCACATGTGGCTCCACTCAAAGCCTTTGATCTTCACACTGGCCCAGCAGGACAGGCACAGGGGTGAGGAACCCCCTGGGCTGTGGGGTTGTATTTTGGGGTATCCAGGGAAGCCTTGCTGTGCCTGGAAGTGCTGAGAATTCTCCATGAACTCTTTCCTCTTCCAGCAGCAGCAGCAGCAGCATTTCCCCCTGCACAGCAAACCCCAGCAGTGATATTTCCACCATCCCTTAGCCAGGACATTCCTCAGCCACACAAAAACTTCACTGCCAGGCTTCCAAAAATCCTCATCCTCTTGCTGATGCCATCACCTGGAGGGATTTGCTCCCAGATCCCACACTCCAAGAGAGCAGTGACTGTTCCCCTGCCCCGACAGCAGCTCGTGGCCCCAAGGACACGCTCCCAACTGTGACATGCAAGCCCCCATCTGCAATTCTAATCTTGTTAAGGGATGGCAGGCAGAAAAGTGCATTAAAAATGGGAAAGGACCAGCTTTTCCAGCTGGCAAAGGATCCCCAGCACCTCTAAGTGGCAGCAGAAGCCAGGAGCAAGCAGGAAGGACAGGAGAGGGAGATGCTTTCTTCACAAAGAGACTCAGTTCGTGTCCAAAACCTGCCCAGAGGGATGTTCCCGGCAAAATATCACAGCTTGAAACCATTCAGGCTCCTTTTTATAAAAGCCACATGAAAGAGGAGCCAATCTAAGCCCCTCTGGCCCTTGGGGAGGGTGATGCTCAAACCTCCAGCAGCTGCTTCTCCTCCATGGAGAAAGGGCCCCCCAAAACACATCCCCCTCCCTCCCTAGGGCAGGATGTGGACCTGAAGGGAGCATCAGCCTGTGGACGCTAAGGAAGGACAGGGACAGACACACCTCTTCTCCTCTTCCTCCCCAGTGTTCCCTCTGGAGCGGCGGCAGAAACGGGGCCGACAAAAGTGGCGCGTGAAAAGATCATGCAAGACAGAGGGATGGAGGGGAACGGAGAGAAGAAGAGATGGAAGAAGGTTGTTAGAGGCAGAGAGAGAGGAAAGAGAGAGAAAAAGAGGAGTTTAGTTCTGATTCCTTCCCCCCCTCCCCTGCCCTCCCCACCCAGAGGAGGAAAAACCTCCCCAGGTCTCGCTGCAGCCCCGGGAGGACAAAGCCCGGCCACCCCAGAGATGTCCTGGTCACCCCATCACAGAGGTGGCCTCAACCCCATCCCCACGGACTTTCTGGACATCTGCCATGGCCAAGGACCGACCTGGAATTCCAAATTCCAATCCTCCCTGCAGGGATTTCCATCCTCAGCCCAGCTCAGTGTAAGGATCCTGCATCCTCTCCAGAGGACTGGGGGCGGTCACCACCACCTCCCAACTCCCCCAAAATGCTCAGGATACTCCAAGCTGCAGCTCCCAAAGCTCCTTTGTTGCCCAGGCTCATTCCTGCAGCCGAGGCAGGCTCAGCCATCAGATTAATTGGGAAAGGCACTGGGAGCAGGGAGCAGCTGCCGGTGGCGTCTGTCCTTGTGAGGCATTTGCTGCTGCTAATTTGGGGCTTAATCAAAGCAAATGCAGTTATGGTTACATTGCTGCTCAATAGGCTCTTCCCGTGCTTGCTTGGGAGAAAAAAAGGAAAGCAATAAAGGGGAAAACAGGGATTGATCCGTGAGCTGAGCCTGGCACAGCATCCCAGGCTGCGAGCCAGGGCTGCTGCGGCTTAGCTCGGGATTTTGGGAGGACACAGAGCGGGGCTGGCTGCTCAAAAGGGCTGCTCCGAGCTCGGTGATTCCACCCCGAGGGTTCAGAGCCTCAGGGCACTGCACAGACAGCGGGAGGGGCTGGCTGGGAGTGGGAAACTGCCCCAGGAGAGGAGAGAGTGACTGGAGCCCTCACCCAGCTCCGGGGTGGAGCAAGAGTTGGGCACAAGCTTGGTGAGTGTCTCACCCAATTCTGCAACCCCCCGACACGAGCAGCCCCTTCCCTGGCAGGTTTTTCACAGTTTTCAGGGCTGGCAGTGCCACCATCCCCAGCTTCTGTCCCTGCCGGCTGCAGGTTGTCCCTGCTGGGGACAGCTGGGACGTGCCTTCCATCCACTACACCCCCTGATGGCAGCACCCAGCACCTCCCAGACCTGCTGCCAAACTCAGCATCAACAGCCTGAGCTCTGGCTGGGATTCCTGGGCACGTTTCTAGGGCTTGGCTCCTCCAAAAATGCTGCACAACAGGCAAGAAAACCTTCCTGCTCCCAAACCCCTACCAGGCTGCAGATCTCACCAGCCCACCCCAGTGCTCCCAGCAGGTTTCCAGTCAGGGATGGAAAGCAGAGCATCTCCCAAGGGCTGGACAAGCTCAGGGCTGTTGGGAGGAGCATCCTGGGGTGTTGGAGGGGACGTGGATTCTCCTGTTCCCACAGGGATGTGTCCTACCTGGTGGTGGGGGATCTCTTCCTGCGCTCGCAGTGCACGGCGTCGAAGAAGGCGGCGTTCCAGAACCGCAGGTTGTGCCTGCAGGGAAGGAGGGAGATGCTGGGAATGGCCAATTTGGATTTTATAATTAGGAACCACAGGGTGCCCAGAGAAGCTGTGGCTGCTCCTGGATCCCTGGAAGTGTCCCAGGCCAGGCTGGATGGTGTTTGGAGCAGCCTGAGACAGTGGAAGGTGTCTCTGCCCATGGCAGGGGTGGAATGGGATGGGATTTCAATTCTCTTCCAACCCAAACCATTCCAGGATTCCACAATCTCACCCAGCCTGTCCCAAGGGTCAGGATGGGCCAAAGAAACCTGGCAGATTTCTGGACCAGCCCTTTGGTGGCTGGAAACACACTCTGGCTAGCACAAGGGATGTGCCAAAGCCAAGGCCAGCTCTGTTAGGGGCACCCGTGAACATCTGGGGACATGTGGCCAGCAGGACAAACCCTCCCCAGGCAGGAGCCAGCCCGCCCCAGGGTTTTACCAGATCGGCTGCTGCTTGAGGTGCATGTACAGGTAAATCTTCTCCCCCTTCTTCTCCTCCTCCGGGCTCTGCAGGGACACTGTGGGGACACACAGTCACACACCAGCATCTGGGGGACTCCACCTTCCCTCCCACTCGTGGATTTTGTGCCCCCTCCCAGTTCGGTGTCTGAGCATCTGGGATGGTTTGCAAACCAAACACATCCTCTACACATCCACAGCAACGGGAGAGGAGCTCTGAGAGCCCTTGGAGGGCAGGGATGTCCCAGGAGGATCCTGGAGGGACTGGACTACTGGTCTGGGAGCTCACACAGGTACTGGGGGAGACTGGTGCATCACCAAAGCTCAGAGCAGTGGGTGCCCAAACCTCTGCAGCCTGTGATGCTGAGGAAAAGATCCTCACAGGACAAGAGTTGTGACTGGAATTTCAAACCCAGCCCCAAGAAATTCCAGCATTTCCAACCCTCTCTCCTCCCCCAGGGCTGCCATGGCCATGCCTGCTGCACTCACCCGTCTTCTTCAGCTTCTCCTTTGGTTTGTCTTCACCTTCGCTGTGGCACAAGAAATCAACATCAGCTCCAAAAATCCTGTCCCCCCCAACAGCACATGGACCCCCGGCAAAGGGAACCTCATTTGAATGACCCCCCCCCCGATCCCATGCCACCACCCCCAGGGCCAGAAAGGTGACAAAGAGAAGTGACATCCCTCCCCTCAGACTCGGCACAGAGATGATGCAAAAGATGCTTGGAACCACATAACCCCATGGCTGTCTCCGTTTTGAGACAAATTAGGAGGAATTAGGACAATGGCCAAGGGAAACAGGACTCCCAGACCGTGAGGTGACAGTGACTAAAGCATGGGACCAGGCTGGAGACCACCTCCCATGGCCATGGCAGCCCCATGGTGGCCCTACACCCCTGGTTTGATATGGGGGCTTGCCCACCCGAGGGAGTGGTACCCACTCGCTCTTTTTGGTGGCAGGACCCTTCAGTTTGGTCTCCAGGCCCCCAAAGAAGCCCTTGACGTTCTCTGTCTTGGCTGAGGTGTTTTTCAGCAGCCTCTCTGCAATGTCCTTCTTCTCAGCCAGCCAGGTGTTCGCTGACTTCAGGTACGAGTCGATGCTGCCCGTGGGCTTCTCCTTGGCCTCCAAAGGCAGGGAATGAGGTTTCCCTGGGGAAAATGTGCCAGAAGCTCAGCGGGCTCATGGCCCTGAGTGCTGCCAGCTCCTGGGGACCTGCATCCAACTCCACAATGCACCACCAGGAGATGGAAACACCCAAGATCCCACCCCAGTTACTGTAGGTTTTTATTTTTATCCTCCCCGCTCCCATTTTGGATAGAAAAAACAGTTCCCTGTGGAGGAGCAGCCACTGCACACCAAACAATAAATCAAGGTGCTTCTGGTTCACATCCCACCCCCAGGGGCTGGGATCATCTGGGGGTTGTCACATACAAATATTCCTGGCTGGAAGCGAGGACAAAGCACCATCATCACCCCAGCGAGGAGTTCTGCCAGGTTTGCACGGATTCTGGGCCACCTCTCCAACACCTTTCCCATGCACAGCACACATTTCAAACCAGCCCCCAGCACCAGCAGAGCCTCCACAGGGCTGCAGGTTCCCTTACCTATGTAGTAATAGGTGAAACACATGGTCATGAGGTTCTTGGCAGGGCTGAAATCGTCCATCTGGTGACACCTGGCACAGAGAGGGGACTCAGTGAGGAGCTGGGAACCCAACCACAGCTCTGCCCTCAGGGCAGTTTGGGGGTTACCACAAAGCCCCCAGGACTTACTCGAAGAGCACGAGGGCGAAGGACTGCATCAGGCGGTAGAAGGTCTGCTCTGACACACACTTGGAGTTGCAGCGCTGCAGGGACAGAGCCCAGGGGTCAGCACAGCAGCAGGAACAGCCTCAGCCCCCCAGGACCACCCACCATGGGCAGGGGGGAAAAGAGCACTCATGGATGGGTATACCCCCCCAGAGACACACTGTACTTGTCTGGGTTTGTTTTGGGCTTTTTTTAAGTGTCTGAGTGCTGGTGGGGTTTAATTTTAAATAAAACGAGTGAATTCTCTCCCACGTTGCACCAAGGGTGTGTTTAACTGCTTAAAATGCATTTATTCGCTCTTGTATCTCCCTCTGCTGTGGTTCCTCACTTTCCTTGAGTTCCTGCCTTCCAAAAATACTTATTTGGGATATAAATAAATCCCCCTGGCCTGAGGCTGTTCCAAAGGCCATGCAGGATCCCTGCTGCCTCCCCAGCACTCCACTTACCTGGGCACTCACGTATCTGGCAAACCACTCCCTGCCCTTCCCGTTCTCGCTGCTGCAGAGCTCCCCAAACCTGGCCTTCTCCTCTTGGTCCAAATCCTCTCTGAAACAGGGAAAAATTAACAAACATCATTAAAGCCAAGGATGTGACCTGCACCCCCCAACATCCCTCTAGGCATCAGCATCCCAGTGCCGTGGTGCTGGAGGAAGGCAGAGGAAGAGGAGGAGAGGAACATCCATTTTGTCATCCCTCTCCTTGTGCTGCTCTTTTCTTCCTCCCTGGCAGAGGGAGAAGGGAAGAGCCAAGGACAGTGTGAGCAGAAACTGAGCTCCAGAGACAGGCAGGGAGCCCCAGAGCAAAAACAAGCCCTGTTGCTGCTCCTCACGCTCCATTTGCTCCATCCAGCCTGACATGGAGCCACGGAGTTCCAGAGACCACAGCGCCAGGAGCTGGGGGATGCAGGGCTGGGGGCACTGCCAGGGGCTGCCACAGGGCCCCTGGGCACGTGTGAGCCACTGGCATTTCCACGAGCACCAGTGGGGACAGGAGATGGGGACAGCGAGCCCCTGGCATGGGAATGTGGAGAGAGAAGAAGGGAGGGGAGCTGGGAGTGGGAGATGAGCTGGGATGTGGCCAGGAGAGGGTGCAGGGCAAAAGCCACATCCCCCGCAGCACTGACCCCATGGAGGGGAAGGACACAAACTGCTGCTCCCAGAGTGGGAAAGCAGCCAGATCCAATCCCATCCCGTGGGATGTCCCTGGCATTGCCAGCCCTGCTCGCTCACCCCCCGGTGAAGATTTTCTCCACGTAATTCCTCATGAATTCCCGGCGCTCGGCCGTGGCCTCGTCCCGCGCCGACTCCGTGCTCTGGCTGGAGGAGAAGGACTCGTTGGAGGAGGAGCGGTGGTGGCCACCCCAGTGCTGGGGAGAGTCGCCCATGTCATTCTCGCTGTCTGCCGACTCGGTGGCATCGCTCTCCTCCGCGGCCACGTCGTCCCCTGTGTCCCCCAGGTCACCGGGGGCAGCGGGAGGAGCGGGCTCTGAGGGGTCACACGAGGGTGGTTCCGTGTCAAAGTCAATGAGGTTCCCTACAGGCACATCCAGAGGGGCCTCCATGGCTCTCCCCGGGGATGTGGCAGGGTTGGGGACACGCTCTCCTTGTCCTTTTGCCCCTCACTGGGGCGTTGAGGCCATGGCTGGCAGGATGCTGGCTAAGGCAGGCAGGACCTCCTGGAGGGGAACATCTGAAAAACACAAGGAGGACAAAAGTGAGGACAGGACCACCAGGGAACCACCACCATGGACCTGGGACCAGGCCACCACCCACGATGTCCCCAGTGGAGCACTGGAGGGACACACAGAGCTGGCTCCTGTCCACCAGCCACGTGAATCAGCAATCCCATGGAATGCTCACGTGCTCTCGGCACTGCTCGAGAGGGTTTTCCATCCTTTAGCCCAGAAAAGGGACAACCGGAGCCTCAGCTCCATATGTCACATTTGGGATGTGACATCTCGTGGCCCGACGGGCAAAACTGGGCTGGCAGGAGCCAGCAGCTGGCAGGACACTGATGGTTCTCCAGGGCAGTCCTGACATCCTCCTGTCCCTGTCCTCTGTCTGCTCACGGGTCTGTCTGACCCCGTTTGGAAATGGGATCATCTCCAGGGTGGAACATCCTGGAGTTTAACACTGGGACTTAGCTGGGAATGGAAAGGGGATGCTGGACACAACAGAAACTGGAATGGAATGGGATGAGGATGCAGAGCTCTGGAGTGCAATGAAGGGGTTTTGGCACCCCAGATTGCAAAGGTCCTGCAAAGGAGGTACAGAGACCACAGGAATGGGGATGGACTGGGATGCTCCAGCACATGCCCATCCTGGACAGTGCTGCAGCAAAAGAGGCAAAGAAAGGGCCACCCTGGAGCTGCCCCTGTGTCAGAGTCACTGATGTACACAGTGAGGGTGTTCTGCCCCAGGAGGTGGTGAATTATAATGTCTGAAACCCAGCACACACTGCAGCACCCGGGCACAGGGTGGGGCAGCAGCAGGGACAGCAGCACAGGTGACAGGGAACAGTGACAAACCCAGGGCAGCAACACAGCAACATTGACACAGCCCTGCTGCCTCCCAGGGAAGTGATCCCAGGACACAGACAACCACCCCCAGAGCAAAAATCCCCAAAGGACTGATGTCCAGTTCCTCAGACAAACAGGAGTTCAAACTGAAACCAAATCTGACGTGTTTCACCGAGCACAGCACAGTGGGAAAACAACCCCTGGGCTGCAGGAGCAGCCACTCATCCAGCAGCATCACCCTCCTCCTCCTCTTCTACAGAGACCCTTTGGAACACCAGACAGAAACACAGCTCTTTGAGTGGCTGGGAAAAGCCCCTGTCCCCAGAGACAGCAGGGACAGAAAGAAAAGTCACCTTGGGTGGCAGAACTCATGCAGCCACCTCACTCTGAGCCCCCTGGCACACACCTCGAGCTGGCTCCCAGGAGCTGCAGGGACACTGCTGCACTCCAGGAGCTGTGGAGAGCTCAGCTCCTGGGAGAGGAGCAGCCCAAGGCTGCGGCACAGCAAGGATTGGCCGTGTTCCCATGGGGATCCAGCCAGCTGCAGCCTGGCTCCGTGTCCCTGGCAGTGTGAGCCATCCCAAAGCACCCCTCCAGCTCCAGGGACATCCATCCATCCATCCATCCATCCATCCATCCGCCCTCAGCCCTTCCCACTCCCACAGCAGCTGCAAAGCCCCTTTTGAGACTTTGATGGAGAGAAGAGCTCAGAGCCCCTTCCACTGCCTAAAGGGGCTCCAGGAGAGCTGGAGAGGGATTTTGGATAAAGGCATGGAGTGACAGGACACAGGGAACGGCTTCCCATTGCCAGAGACAGGGTTAGATGGGATATTGGGAAGGAATTATTCCCTGTGAGGGTGGTGAGGCCCAGGTTGCCCCATGACTGTCTGGGAGAGAGGACTTGGAGTTCAGCCAGGGAGTGCATCCTGCTCACAGAGGGATGGAAAAGATTTAATCCCTCACTGACCAGCTCATGGTAAAGCCCTGCCCTTGAGTAAAGGCCACCAAAGGTGTTGGCAGCTGCTGGGGGTGCCCAGGCTTCCCAAGCACCTCCACAGGGGTTGGGTTCTTAGCACAAAGCTCAGAAGAGCTTCAAAACCAAACCTGAGCTGCAAAACCAGCCCTGTCCCCACCCCACAACCTGCTCATTGCTCCAGCAGAACAAATCCAGGGAAGGAATAGCCAAAATACCAAATGAGAGCCTCAGGTCCCACAGTTGGCACCGTACACTCACGGACATCAGCACAGCTGCACAGGGGGTTCCCATTCCTGGCCAGGTCTAATTTGAGAGTAAATGAGGGTTCTGGAATTAAAAGGGACTTTTAGGCTGTTTGGGAGCTTCAGCATCATCCTGAAATTCAGCAGTTCCTGGGCTGACTTTAACCACGAAGCTCAACCAGACAGGTGGAGACACCAGCCTGGGATATGTGAACGTCCAGGAATGAGCTGAAGCCACGCATGGGAATGTCACAGGAAACCCATGGTGCCCCGAAACTTGGGACAATGCCAGTTTTTACTAAAAAGAAATGCTGAGGTAGTTGTGAATGATTCACCTATAGCTGCATATGTGTGCAAGCAGCTTTAATCCATGACCTGCCCTTGAATCCAGCATTCCTGACTGGATGTCCCAGCATCCCTAAACCCTGCACTGAGTTTCCCCTCGGGGCTTTTTCCAGGTGCTGAGGTCAGGTTTGCTGCGGGGCCTCAGCAATTCACACCTGGGAAATGGGATCCAATCCCAATTTGGCCAACCTGTGTCCCAGCTCTCCTGTCTCTCCAACCACAGCAGCCCAGTGCGCTGCTCCCAGCCTGTCCCCAGAGCTGGGTGACAAACTGGGATAATCCCTGTTATCAGCTCGGGCGTGGGTGACATCCCACACGATGACAGTGCTCGAACCCACCCTCACTGCATCCTGCACGGAGATGGTGCTCCAGCCTGGAGCTGTCAGGGATGACTAAAAACTGTAATTAAAGCAAAGAAACCTCTGGCTGCCTCCTCATAGCCTCATCCCTGCAGTCTGGCAGCCAGACACGGAGAGCAGGAGCTCCGAGAGCCCCTGGGAACATTCGGCTGCGGGAAAGGGGGAAAAGCCACAATTGATGTTCATGCAGGACTGGTCTTGGCAGCCCAGAGGGGACAATTCTGCTGCTTTGGACACAGCCACGAGCTCTGCAGAGAGCTCTGGCACTGCCAGCATCCCGCTACTGTGCGGGGGCGAGGGATGCTCACACGGGCAGCGCCTGGCCCTGGCCAGGACTGGTTTGTGCCCTGCACAGGTGATTTCAGCACATCCCACCTCTCTCTCCCAGCTGTGCCAGGGGACAAGGTTTTTTTTAGTTTGTGGGAAAGGAGTCAGAGTTTTGGTGCCTTCTCCCAGCCCGTGTGCTGATGCCCTGCAGAGGAGGCAGCCCCGGTGCAGGGGACACACACAGCGAGTCACTGGCAAAGTGCCGCTGCTCAGTGCTGGCACTTCTCCACACTGCGGCCCTCCGTGGAAATCGTCCCTTGTCCCATCCACCCTGGCATTGCCCTGGCACGGGAATTCCACCTTGCTCCTGGTGCTGGCACTGCCCGGGGACACCGCACAGCCACCCACCTGCGCTGCACCCACGGCTCTGTCCCAAGCCAGCCCGGCCGGGCTCTGCAAGGGCAGCCTGGGCACGGCTGAGTGCCTGCCAAGGAAAACTCCGTGTGCCGTGAGGGAACAGCGTGTTTCCTCCCAGGGAACTGGTCAGTCTTGTTCCCTCGTGTCGCTGCCCCGGGGAGAACACGGCGGCAGCAGGGTCACGGCTCTGGGGTGCAGACCCGTGCAGTGCCAGATCCCCAAACCCACCCCAAATCCAGAGGTACCGCGTTTACCCCCCTCGCAAGCACCCCGCTGAATTTAAACACACAAACCTCCTTGTTTAAACACATCCTGCGACTCTGGAGAGCAGAAACTCCTCGTGGCTGGGTTCGCCCGTCCCGCCGCAGATCCGCTCAGCTGCCGGGGCCGGGACACGCTCCCGGCTTTGCCAGGAAGGCTCAAGCTGTGCCCTGGCCAAGGCGCAGCCGTGCTGCAGCACTGCCCACAGCTCTGCAACCTCGTCAAATAATTCCCTGCGTGCCAGGGGGGTACCTGGGGGCGGTGCTCAGCTGGGCTGGCACAGGTGGGGCAGAGACCGCACACACCCCGTGCGTGCCACAGCCAGCTCCCAGCTCATCGTGAGCCGCCACCGGGATCCCGATCCCTGATGAGGGAGGATTTTTGGCATGTGATGTGTGAAGGTCTAGAGGATCTTTCCTCCAGCATCATCTCCTCTCCCGGCCCCAGCGCTGGGGCTCTGCTGCCTTCCAGGTGGATCCTTCCCCTTCCCCAGCCCGGCTTTAGCTCGCACGGGGCACTGACAAAACCATCACTCAGCCCTTAAACCGGAGCCATTTCCAGGGAACCTGAAGCCCGGCGAGCTCCCAGCTTGCCCCGCTTCCCAGAGATCCTTTTCCTTTCCCTTCGCTGCCATCAGACACCAGATGGCAGCTCCCCATTCGCCTGGACTTGCGCGGAGAATTAAATGTCTCTTGAATAGACCTGAGCTGCGTAAGCCGCGCTTTTGTGCCGAGCAGCGGTTTCTCCTTTCACACTTCCCATCGGCACAGATCCCACACACCCCCTCGGCCACGGCCACATCCCCGGGGAGCCCCAAAATGGGGTTATTTATTCTGCAATTCCCATTTTTACCTGGCAAAAGCATTCCTCCCGGGGGCCGTACCAGGCTGTATTCTGGAAAAAGCACACGCGGGGGGAGGGGGGGGTCCCTGCCCCGAGCATCCTCAGCCCCCCATTCCCATGGGAAATGCTGCTCCTGCCCCTGCGGAGGGGATGGGGATGCAGCCGGCTCTGCGAGCGAAGCTGATGGAGCCTGGGGAGCACCTGGGGACCCTCCACCCTTCCCGGGTGCGTCCCCTTGGACAGCTGGATAAAAAATCGGGGTGTCACCTACCGGAGGGAGATGGGGACAGACGATGGATGGATGGATGGATGGATTAAAGCCCAGCCAAGCCCAGGCCTGTCCCCAGGCGGGGTCACGGCGCCATCCCCACCCTCCCTCCCTCCATCCCTCGGCTTTTACCTGCAGCCTGGAGCCTCGCAGCGCCTCGGCTCGCAGCAGCATCCGGCCCGGGGGTGGCCGG